CCGGAAACCGGAGGCACAAGGTCACCCATTTGTTTTATATGGATAATCTTAAACTTTATACCTCTGTGGAGAAGAATCTCCATCAGTCCTTGAGGGTGGTGGAAGAGTACACGCATGATATCGTTATGGAATTCGGGATAGACAAATGTGCAATGGTCCATCTCAAAAAAGGACAACGCGAGGCCTACGGAGAAGATGTGCAGCTCGTAGATGGAAGCATCCTACACCATTTGCCGGAGAGACGTATACTTACCTCGTGGTGGAACAACGCCACTCACGAGAGGTAATAGCAGTGAAGAACTCTCTCCGCGGCAAGTATCAACACAAACTCCGATAGATCTGGTCATCGGAACTGTCGGGAAAGAACAAGGTTGCTGCAACAAATATGCTTGCCGTTCCAATCTCACTCTACTCGTTTGGAGTATTGAAGTGGACTTGTAAAGAGCTGTATCAACTTGACGTAAGACCTGAAGAACGATGCACCTCCATAGGAGTTTGCATCCCAATTCGTCCGTTCCACGGTATGTAATCTAGAAAATAAATTTTTGAACAGTCTCCATGATTGTCAAGAAATAATAAGTAAATATTTTGAACACATATTGAAATGAACCGAAGTGGGTTTTGAATACATATTTTGAAATTTCGATATTCATCGAGAAAAAGTAATATTGGATAAAGAATCGAGGTACCTATCAAATAAGTTTACTTTCCCCGACAGCAAGGAAACAGTGGAATTTTGAGTTTGGAGTGTCTGCATAACGAAATGGTACTGAATATAGCCTGTACAGTCGTCAGGAGATCGGATCCTCTTCTATGCATGGTGCGCGACCATGAGAGAACAGAAATTGGAGCATTTCTCTTCAGAGCAACCGCCCGAGCAGCTGGTGAACTCGGTTCAGTTTTCGACACTGAACAAGGTAATCACAACTCTGTCACCGCGTTGGAACCCGTTCAGCAAAAGGCCCATATAAAAGCACAAAGGGTCTTTTTCAACAACATTGAAGATCTTGGCTCATAAAGTGCCTGACCTTCGCATTTTCCAGATCGAGTGGGCTGAAGTCGGGGACTGAGGGGATCATCATGGCCTTTCAAGATAGTGGCACTTTTGACTGCACTGGGGAATAACTTTTAATAGTTGTACATCAATAATTTTCTGATCAATTTACTTGATATCATAATCTATCTTCAGAAGATGCTTACTCTCGCAAGGATATCGACTCATCCATGTATACCGGGTGATTCTCTAAGGTCGCTCACCCATATAACTTTTTTATCATTAGAGATATTTGGGGGTTGTGTATTATAGTTCCATTTACATTTTTTGACATATTTACTTGCTTTGCCGTATTTCCAGTTTGATCGGAAATAACACCAATTTTCGATTTTTAAATGGGACATCCTATATATTTTCACTTATCGAGAATGACGTTCTAAATCAAACAATACATCACTTGTCGAAATTTGACAAATAAAATCATTTTCATTTCAATTTTTATTCTTTGATCTAGAATGCCATGGATCCGGTAAATCGCTTCATTCTTGAGCAAATAATATGGGAAAAACTACGACTTTGAGGCTTATGACTTCACAATCGTTTCAAGAATTATTTCACAGTCGCAAATATGAATTTTTCCAGTTGACTTGATTTTTTCAAATAGAAAGGGGGTGGCTCGTCGACTTTTTGTGAAAGATCATTTTCTTACGAATAAATTGACGCCACACACTTTCACTTTATTTTCTCTATTTTTCTGAATAATTGCAAGAAATAATCATACTCAATAACAAAAAATACGTATTCGGTATACTTATGCTTATACTTACTTATATTATGTCCTATTATTCCCACGGCCTGATGACATCGACAATTGCGGAACTAGTCAAATGTTACACCCATGCTCAATCTTATTACGATAACGATCACAACCGGAGATTGACTTATCGCAACTGGGTTTTGACTGAATACAGAGAAGACGTAAGTTTTCCATTTAAAATTATTTATTCAGATGAAACCCGATTCATCAACTTGGGTATGTTCAATAGGAATAATAAAAAGTACTGATCTCAAACGAATTTACATCTGATACAAAAAGGAAATTTTCTAGAGCGTTTTGGTTTCAATTGCTGGATGGGTATTATCGAAGGAAAACATTTGGGGCCAATAATTTTCGACGGACAACTGACTGCGGAAAAATACATTCAGTTCCTTAGAAATCAAATTAATGATTTCATTGAAGATTTGCCACTGGCAAACCAAGTTGATATGTATTTTCAACAAGATGGAGCGCCACCTCACAATTCTTAAGTCGTAAGAGAACATCTGAATGAGATCTTCTCAGAAAAGTGGATTGGCACTTATGGATCTATTCAGTGACCTGCGAGGTACATTCTTGAGTTATCATATTTTTACATAAATGTATTATTTCTTTCTCATACTCCGCTAGATTTTTTCCTCTGGGGAACAATTAAAAATCAGGTTTACATTACCACATCAACTACTCGTGAAGAACTTGAGCATAAAGTAAGGGTGAAATTCCAGAACAGCACTGAGTGACAGCTAATCAATATAATGCGCGCAACAATTGAGAAAGTTGTTGAACTTTCCTGTGATCAAGGAGGAGGCCATTTTGAAAATGTATAATCTTAATGGACTTATTGCGACTTTCTTGCAATTATTCAGAAAAATAGAGAAAATAAAGTGAAAGTGTGCGGCATCAAATTATTCGTAAGAGAATGATCTTTCACAAAAAGCCGACGAGCCACCCCCTTGCGTGTGACTGTCAAATAATTCTTGAAATGATTGTGAAGTCATAAGCCTCAAAGTCGTAGTTTTCCCATATTACTTGATCAAGAATGAAGCGATTTACACGATCCATTGTCAAGTGAAGTACAGCAATGCAAGTGAATATGTCAAAAAATGTAAATGGAACTATAATACACAACCCCCAAATTTCGTTTTCCTATCTCCAATAATAAAAAAGTTATAGGGGTGAGTCACCGTAGAAAATCACCCAGTATGTCTAGAAAAATAGGTAGATTTTGAGAAAATTTAAACGATGAGGCGTAAATGACAATAAATTCTTGGAATTTCATGCAAATTAGTTAAGTTATGATTGAATTTCTTGTTGGTCATTTAATGGGGGAATTTGATCTACAAGGATTTCAGTAGGTTCAATTTTTGTCTTTAATTTTCTTCATGTTCATATCAGAATCGTGGTTGTTCTCTAAAATATTATTTTAACATATAATGTGGTCAAATGAAGTACTCTGCTCTAGGTCTCGTCAGTAGTACTCTGTTAAAAAAAAAACTGTTTTTCCGTTAACCGGCTGTCGCACCCCAACGAACGACAACCCTCAGAATTCGAAACTTGTGCAAGCTAAGGATTGACGAGGTCTTACCTTTCAACGTGTGATTCCTAACACGAGGCATTGTCATGAAAAAACTATTTGAACCCATTCTTTCCAAGTTAGAACAACTGTGGCATTAAGGGAACACCTCATGAAGAAATCATCTTTGGTATCCTCGTTAATTTTTGTCATTCGTGGTTTGACTATTCTGTCGATATATGTTTCGGATCAAAGTGAAACTTTGTTTGACATAACATGTGTGACTATTTTTGACAATGATTTCGATACTATTGGGAAACTGAAGTGTGATTTGACGAATATATTATACGTTTTTTTCATATAGTTTATTCCTAGTTCCTTTTGTCGTTGTGATGAAATTTCATTATAGTCCTTTCGAAAAAGTTCTCATTAATTGTGATGACCCCATGACATTCATTTCATTACTGTTGATAAATTGAAGTGTCATTTGGCAGATATAATGAGTTTTTCTTCTATATAATTCATTTCAAATTCCAATGTATTTCAGCGGTATTGAATATTTTGCTTTGGTCTTGTTTACACGATGGTCTATCCGATAAAAACTGGAAAAAAGTTATCCCGAATTCCGAAAACCTCCTATTTGATGAAATTTCAAAATGTCATTCAAATGAACTCCAAAATTTAATCATTTTGTTAAAATTTTTCCGTTAACATGGGAGCCAGATGTGGCTCCCATGCGAACGACAACTTTCAGTAGACGAAACTTGTGCGAGCTGTGGACTAACGAGGTCTTACCTTTTAACGTGTGATTCCCAATCACAAGACAATTACGTACTTCAAGTCAAAATCATAATTGAAACAGTATGAGGAATCCAATAAAATATTGAGTTCTCAACATTTGAGGAAGCTACTGTTTTGCAAAACACGTGTTACGGTTTTGTGAGCTGACCAGTGAAAATCTCCCAATAAAGTGCCAATGAAATCCTCCTACGATTTTTTTCTCAGATTATGAATGGCGAAAATATGCGAGAAGGTAGTAAATATATTTCCCATGCCGGCCCAACTTATCCGAAACGAACAGATAAATGAAAAATGAGTATTGAAACATGCTATGTTTTAACCACTTTTGTTTGTAACTGACATTACTGCAGTTTCATCCTATAAGGACACTTTCAAACTTATACTTCAAACTAAAAATGTTTGATTATATTAGCCTTTATATAACACCACTATAGGTAATAACGGAGGTATAGTCGAAGTAACCGATATAGTAA